ATGGGAAGACAAATCTGCTGACTATGACAGTCACCTAAACAACATAGTCACAGTGTCACTGTTACCAAGGGGCTGACGAATGAAACTTCACTCTTGTCCCAAATAAAGGTCAAATTTAGGCATTTAACTTCCTGTTTTCCTATATTATCCAGGAATCTCAGCAACCAAGAAGTTTTCTTTTGTTTATTTTATTTTGAAGAAGGTTGAATAAAATTTTCCATTTAAAAAAATTTTATTTTATTTTTTTTATTTTTTTTAAATTTTTAATTCTTTTTAATTTGTCAGAGAAAGAGAGAGACAGAGCACAAGCAGGGGGAGTGGCAGGCAGAGGGAGAGGGAGAAGCAGGTTCCCTGCTGAGCAGGGAGCCCGATGCAGGACTTGATTCCAGGACTCTGGAATCATGACCTGAGCCGAAGGCAGATGCTTAACTAATTGAGCCACCTAGGCATCCCAAAATTTTGCATTTTTTAATGTTCCTCTGTAGTCATTTTCCATTTAAAATATAATTTTATATAGTTTTATAATGGCATATACAATTTAATTATTTTTACTTAAGCTTACATTATAATTTTCCACATTGCTTCTTAGTTCCTATCATCTCTTGTTTTAAAGAGTTTAAGGAAGACAAATTCTCAACACATATAGGAACTTTTCAACATATGTCTATAAACAAAGTTTTGAAAGCTCAAGTGGTGTTCATTACTTCTCACGTGAATATTGATCCAATTCTCATCAAACTTTGAATTGCTTATGTCATTGGTTTCTCCCAAAGGTGATCTTGAAGCACATTTTGATATTGGCAGCAGCGAGCATTCTAGAAACAAAACTAAAAGCTTTTTGCTGCATTCGTGAAGAGGGTGAAAGTGCTTCCCAAGCATAAATCTCGCAGCAATGGGGATGAGGATATGACTGGAGTTAGAGAACCGACCATTATTTCCCGCTCATCAGAGAAACGGGACCTACAACACCGCATGGGAGAGGCAAGAACAGACCCAAAGATGCTCACCAGACAAATCATTTGGGGGGCAGAGAGTGGATAGTGATGTGAGTTTGTAGGGTATATATATAAAAAGTACTTCTAGGGGTGTGGACTGTTCCTTTGTCCTGTATAGCTCACAGGTCCCAAATGACAATGCATCGCCCAGTGCCCGACCTACACACAACCCCCCTGTCCTAAAGCATTTGCCCTTAAAGGGGTGGTTAGAGCCAACTACATTTTTCCTCCTTTTTGGCGGGGTGGGAATTCTGGCAACTACACTTGCTCATATGTAGGCTGCAAGAATGAGCTGCTTCTATCTAGAAAAAAAAAAAAAGAGAGATGCTTTTTAAGCAGAATCCATAGCTTCTTTCAGAGAAGCAATCGAATCAGCCAGATTTGGCAAAATAAACCTGGTAATCAATGGAGGAAGTGAAGCTCTTGCCAGTTATCCTCAGTCCGTCTATTCTCTCAGGCATTGTAAGGGTTAGCCACAATTTTCATGTCAAACTAGCCTCCAAAATCATTTATACTCATATCTTTCTCTAAGACACCTTTAAGCAGAGTATGCTAATGCTAGCATGTACATAAATGTGTTTGTATTTGTGTTCGTTTTGGAGTCTGAATATCTCTGGCTGTGGAATATGCTTACTGTTTCTTCTGAAAAGATATCAGAGGAAAAAGAAAGTGATATTTCTGGGAATCATACTCTTATTCCACCTACCCATCTAGTTGACTCTCTAATTTTAAGCCTAATTTTAATAAAAGACACTGAATAGCTCTGCTTTTATGATTTAAATGGACTTTCAAATTGGGATTTAACCATCTGATATAACGAAGTGGGTGGACTTCAGTCTTCAGAGGAAAAAGAATAAACATACTGAAAGCTGTAATTAAAATTTTCCATTTGCCTCCAACCCTCTTAATGTAACTATTGTCAAACTTGAAATATCCAGTGCCCAAATTCAAATCTCAAGTTTTACAAAAAGTGGTAGTGGGTTGCAGCTGAAAACATTCCAGAAAAGGTAGATTTTGGTAGAAATCCAGATCCACTGGATGAGCATGAACACCCTGATGTGTATTAAATTCAGAGTATGCCAATAGTTAGAGAACATTGGTCAAACAATTTCTTAAACAGAGGTGATTAAAATAATTTTGTGAAGCTCCCATTCTATAATGCAAATGTTTCAGCTCCTAATGGTCCACGTGGAGGCATCACTGAGGAAGGTATGACAAAGTAAGTCCTAAAGAAATAAGAAAGGAAAACTTCAATACAGAACAACTTGGATATATTTGCCAGTTACTCAAGCCCCCAACCTTAGAGTCATCCTTGACCCATCTTGTCTATCACACCCAGGGACAAGATCCAAGGTCTCTGGGGCCTGAAGCATATACGGTAAAGATCTTAAGAAAAAACACACACACACAGACAGACACACACATTTTCTTTTTCTTTGCAAACTTTCCAAAAACATAAGCTAATGAAAGTGTCCAGAAGCCTCACAGTAAATTCTCCTCTGTGCACACTGCACTCCTGTTGGTTCTGCCTTCAGTATATGTCAAGAATCCAACCTCTTTTCCATCTCTCCCCTACCATCCTGGACCCAACTACTTTCATTTCTTGCTTGAACTACTGAAATATTACTATGCCTTCTCTTGGGCCTTTATAGTCTGTTCATCTCACAGTCGAGCTAATTAGATTGTGTCTTAGGTTGGCTCAAAACCCTCCAACCTTGTCTTCTGTTGTAATATGTAAGTCCTTACTATGCCTTTCAGGGTCCCGCTCTATCTGACCACCGGGTGCCTCTTGGACCAAGTTTGCTCCTTACTCATCTCTTACCAACCAGGAGCCCTTGCTGTTTTGAGAACCTGTTAATCATGCCTCCAGGCCTCTGTATTTGTCATTCCTGATGTCCAGATCCAGAATACTTTCCCCTGGAATCCATACTTCCTTCCCGTCTATACGTCAATGTCACTTTCGCAGACCACACAATATAAAACAGCAGCAGCCCGCACCCCCCAACCCCCCAGACATCCTATCCTCCCTGCTTTGGATTTTTCTCTACATTCTTAGCCTCATTTGGCATATCTTTGTTTTGTTCTACTCTCCTTTTCCAGACTGTAGGCTCTATGAGCATAGGGATTTTACTGTATTCACTGCTGTGACCCATTCTTAGAACAGTGCCTGACACCTAATAGCACATAATTAACATGTGTGGAAAGAAGAAGAGATTATCTGGCCTGGGAAATTAGGTTAATCATGATGTCAGAGAAAGAAAAATTATATTCAGGGAGATGGTGGAATGTCTTCATGCCTTCTGGTTGTTAAGTCTAAAGTGACAGATTCTTAAATTATGGTTACACTCTGTGAGTAAATACCTATTTTTGATGGAGAAGAAAGTAAGCCCTAGGAGTAAGTCCTAGAACAGGACCTTTTTTTTTTTTAATTTCAGATCTGGTTTTGCAAAAGTTACCAAAGTTACAATGCACTAATTCTCCAATCAAGCTTCACTCCCTTTTACTACGTGTTTATTTTATCTTTCTTTCATGTTCCAAATAGGCAAGGAAAATTTCACAGACTGCAAGGACAAAACAATTAATTTTGAGAGGTATTTTCTCAAACCGTGAACATAAATCGGCTGATCATTTACTCTGAGATTTTACTTCTATGGGTAAGGTAGCAAAACGTCCCTCCTCTCCCCCCAACTCAGGTGTCTCTAATCCCATCTTCATTCCCGAGGTCTCTCCAGGAGGAAGTGAGTTCCAGGAGAGGTTTCAGAGGGCTCCAAAAAGGAGGAAACTTATGCGGTTCAAAAGAGCAGTCCCTGCGTTTGGCTGTTCGTCAAAACTATGCAGACAGTTAAGGAGAGAAGACTAGGATGTGCCCTGTTCCCCTCTCCGCAGGGATGCTATTTAGGCTGCTGGTCTCTTGGAAAAGGGGGGGTCTTGGAGGGAACTTTTCCCTGGAGCATAAGGGTCTGCATTTCTCCAGCTCGGGAGGAGTCCAGGTGTTTTGGGGGTACAGGATTTCCAAGTTAAGGCTCTCTAAAGAATTTTTCCCAACGGAGCTCCCCTAGGAAACTGACACTTCTGAGGAGCACGTCTCCCTCGCATCAGTTCTCTATTTACCCGAAGACAAATGAGCCTGCTTTGAAAGCTATAAACGGTGGCCCTGGGAGATCATGTCTGCCCTGGAGTCCGCCTTCCGGTTCTCTCCGTGTCAGTTAAAGCTCAAGGGGGTGAACGCAATAGTCAACTGCTCATTCATTCAACAAATATTTATTGAGCGCCCGCTGAGTGCCAGGCACGCGGGGTGCCCGGGGCCAAGAAACAACTTAAGAATTTCTACTCGTTCCCCCAGAGGCGCGGCGCGCAGTGGGAGCGACCCCGCACTCCTCGCCCACCCGCGCGGCCCGCGGCCCGTCTGGGTGTGCCCCGCGCCTCCAGCGCTGCCCTCCCGACGCCCCCCGGGATCCAACCTCGAGGGTTTAATCCGGGCGAGGAAGGCGGGGAAAAACGCCAAACACTAAAAGGAAAAAACCTGAGCCCAGTCGGCCCTGGGAAGCCGCTCCCGGGAAGTGCGCGAGGCGGAGCCCGGCGAGCGCAGAGCCCCGGGGTGGGCGAGAGGGGCCGGGCGGCCGCGGGTCGGGGCGCGGAG